GGTTTGTGGTTGCCTGGCCTTTAGTCATCCAGCACCTCTATGACATCAGAGCAGGAAGCAAAAGAAGCTATGAGCTGTCCTCCTCTTCTGTAGTATTAGAACTTGGAGCACTTACAATTCTGCAGGCTGTCTGGACATGCTAAATTTCACATGGTTTAAACTATAATGAAGAAAAGACATAAAATCCACACAGAAACATTTTATTTGGACTTAAAATCACTTGCAGAATGAACGCAGAGGCTGTTGAAATTAATGAAGGATTAACATCAGAATGTATTAAGGGAATCATTGTAATATTTTGTAATGCAGTAGAAATATGAGATGATTAGGATTCCCTCCGATCTCGAAGCATGGGAAGTCAGCTAAAAATAAAATAAAAATTATAATTAGGCATAACATTGAGATTTGTTTGTTTATTGGACAATTTGTGTAATTTGGAATATATAATTTGGTTTGATTGGAAAATTTTAATAATTTTTTTTTTAAATAAATCACATGGTTTACCACTTATTTATGTATTACTCTACTGCAAAAAAATAAATAAATCACACAATGCTTTGCTCTTTTACTGGTAGTGATAAGTGTATACTAGGGATCAGCTTTCTGCAACGAGAAAGCATACTCTCTTATTCGAGGAAAGTAACAAATAAGCAAGTTCACAAGTGGAGAAAACGAGATTAAAACCTCTGGCATCCAGAAGTCCTTTTGCTCTCTTGGCTGACATTCTGGTACCCTGTGGCTCTTCGTGATTGGTTTACCTATTCTCTAGTCGACCTGAGGGCCTGCCTGCAATTGTCCCCATCCATCTATCTCTGTCTGTCTTCTTTACAAAACACCCCGCAAGTTCCGCACACCTTCCTTTTGCACTTTTGGGATACCTCCTTTATTAAATTATCTATAATCGGTGATCTGTTATTAAATAAAAGCTATTTTATTGAGCCAAAGTGGTCCCATAGGTACAGGAACCCTATTAGAGGTTTAATGCACTTGTAAGAGGTGACAGATGGAACGGACAGTTGTGAGGGTAGAGTGGGACCCTGCTAACCCACCAGAGATAGAGCACATCAATCAGAAAAGACATGGAAAAACCAGGAGTACAAAAAAGGATTCTTTTGTTATTTTCTTATGGTTTCTTATGGGTGGTTTGCTTCTCAGGTTTTGAGAGAAGTGGTTAGCAACTAAATACTGTGGAGAAAATTGGCATTTAGCAATTTAGAAATTGAGGACACGGGGTGTGCACCTTTCTAATATTATTTTATTAATTTCCCAAAAATAAAAATACATATTCAAACATAGAAAAAAATAGTGTTGACTTCCCCCTATTCCGCCCTGTGGAATGCCCTCCCTTCAGATGTGAAGGAAATAAGCAGCTATCTTCTTTTTAAAAGACATCTGAAGGCAGCCCTGTTTAGGGAAGTTTTTAATATTTAATGCTGTATTGTTTTTAACTCTTGATTGGAAGCCGCCCAGAGTGGCTGGGGAAACTCAGCCCGATGGGCGGGGTATAAATAATAAATTGTTATTATTATTACTGCTATTCCCTTCCCCGGTCCCCTTGTTTATCATTATACCACATGTCTATTTTAAATTATAAAATCATTAAAATTACTTCTTGTCCAGTCATAAGGTCTTTACAAGTATTCTTGTTGTTGTTGTTTAGTCTTTTAGTCGTGTCCGACTCTTCGTGACCCCATGGACCAGAGCACGGCAGGCACTCCTGTCTTCCACTGCCTCCCGCAGTTTGGTCAAAACAAGTATTCTTAAAATCCTGCTAATGTGTTAACCTGTGTACATTGCTTCTGTATTTATGCAATAAAGTCCTTCCAATCTTCTTTAAATTCATTGTCATCTCTTCCTCTTAATTTCAAAGTCAATTTTGCCATTTCAGCATACTCCATTAATTTCACTTGCCAATCTTCTTTAGCTGGGACACCTTCTTCTTACCAATGTTTTGCTAATAGTATTTGCTGCATATTCATATAAGTCTTTTTGCGGTCTTGGTATATCCACTCCTGTAATACCTAGTAGGAAAGTCTCAGGTTTTTTAACGGAATGTGCACCTCAAGGCAGACATCCTCCAATCCTAATTTCACTCTTTCTTTCTTCATCTACTGTAGCTCAGACATCATGGGTTCAAGCCCCGTGTTGGGCAAAAGATTCCTGCGTTGCAGATGGTTGGATGAGATGAACTTTGTGGTCTCTTCCAACTCTACAACTCTATGATTCTATGATCTCAGAAGCCTCTCAGATAAGACTGGACCCACCTCAAATTCCAGTACAGTGGACGCTCGGGTTGCGAACATGATCCATGTGGGATGCACCTTCGCAAACCACAGCGTTCGCAACCCGTAGTGGCGCATCTGTGCACACCCGGGTTGTGATTTGGCACTTCTGCGCATGCACAAAGTGCAATTTAGCGCTTCTGCGCTTGCACAGCATCCAAAACCCGGAAGTAACCAGTTCCGGTACTTCCGGGTTTCGGCAGTCTGTAACCTGAGAAAACACAACCTGAAGCATCTGTATGCCGAGGTATGACTGTAACTCATTTCAGTCTTGTTCCACCATAGACAGAGTACATATAATTCAGGTCCCTGTGAGCAGTGTTGCGTGTTGAGTCCCACAATGCCACCCCCCAAAAAATTCACACTTCACACATCAATTTTTGTTTAAGGTTTTTGGCATAATTTTGGCCACAACTTTATTCAAAATACAAACAATGTGAGTGGTTGCTTAGGCATTGGTTATGACTATCTGCCCTTGCCCCCAAGGACAGAGCTGGCACTTCCGGACACCACCGGAAGCCAGCGTGGGAAACAAGTATTGGGTGAGAGAATGAAGCTGGGCAACAGTCCCTCACTTCTCACCCCCATGCCCCCTGGGGCTTGCACGGCCCAAGTCCGACTCCGGGGACAAGGACGAAAAGAATGGCAAGCCCCTGGATTCCTTTAACGGAATTCCCTTTCCGCATCATTTGGAGGGGTAGGCACTTACCCCTCCAAGAACCAATTTAACCAATGCCTAACCGCCAACCTTACAAGTTGTGACGATTTGCTACACAGTAGGCAAAAACCAAATGGCACCAGCCAAATGGCAAAATTCCTACAAGGCCCCCGCTCCAAGGCAGACGACCCCATGACAGGCATAGCAAGGTCAAGCGATCAAGAAAAAACCACCCTATAAAAGGGAGGGAGGGCGGGTGATCTGGTGCAAATCGGCCAAGAGGACGTCCAACGTCTGGCCCCTGTATTTAAAGACTCTGACCCCTCCTCCAAATTGGTAACAATCAAAACTCCCCAGCAACCCAAATTTAACCACTTAAAGGCTTGGGTTCTCTACCAAATTTGCCTAGTCACTGCAGGGTGGCTTGTTCCCCCAACCGCAACACGTGCTCTCTGTTAGGGAGAACACACGTTTCCAAAACAGCAGCTGCCACCTCCTGTCCCACATTCTGAAATGGTGCAGTCCTTGAAAAATGGCATCATGCTTTCATAAACATGTACAGCAACACTTTAGCACTTTAAGCAATCGTTTTGCAGAACTTTAAGTAGACTCTTTCCTAGAATTTGGAGCACATGAGCTGTTTCTCTTCACCCTGACTAAGATGCAAGTTGGATGGGACGTGTGTGTGTTATTCTCGGGGGGATAGTAATAATTGTAACATTGCAGTTTTTAAGATAAAATCTTGATTTTTGCTTATGTTCTGTAAATTGCATTGAGCCTGAGTGCAGAATGGTGTGAATAAAAAAAGAAATGTGCCAGTAAGTTATTTGACCAAAGTGCTTTTTAAAGTACAAAAATGGATCTATATAAATTGGGTCGTAATTTGCAAGATTTTACTGTGTTTATCAGATGTCCTGGTTTCAACAATGTCACACACTTGAACTTGGATGCGTGCTATTATTCTTTTGCTAATCACCCAAAGCATGCATTTGGCGGATTAAGTTGCCACGTTCTTGCAAAACGGCAATGAATGTTCATTTAGTTCATAGCACAAGCTTAACAGACACACTTCATAGAACCCATAAGCTAGGAGGGGAAGAATTGGAATCTCTGGCAAACAGATCAGTGTAGCTACAGTTTAATCTGCTCATTCTGTGGCATTTACTTGCTGCTTTCTTGCCTGAAGGGCAAACACCGCCGTAATGAAGCACACATGGACAAATGGCTTTTCCAGGCTGTGATTAATTTTCACAAGCTGACTTTAATCACTGGTTAATTAATAGGAGATTTGTTGACTTACACAAAAAAGCATAGTCATTATAAGGAGTATTATATCGATTTGTTTTCCCTGCGAATTCAGTGCAGTCACAGAGTTTAATATAGGAAGTCACCCAATCTGCTGAGGTTCCATCACAAACACAATTTCAGAGGTGTGTGTGTGTGTGTGTGTGTGTGTGTTCACTAGTTGCTTAATTCAGTTTTTACTTACTGTTTGACTTGGAGCAAATTTGAAGCCAAAGATGAAAGTCATACCCATCCCCCTTCAACATTTAGGGAGGACAATTTGGGGCACCTCCCGCCCTCCTGACGAAGCCATCGCTCACCTCCTCTCTGTTGCTGACCCTTTCCTCACCTGCTTGCCCCATTCCCTCCATCCCCCTCCTACCTTTGTCTGCTGTCTGCTGTCCTCCCTCTCCTCCATGGTCTCAGGAGAGCATTGGGAGACACCGTGGAACCAGCACATCCTGAGCAGCATTGGGAGATGTCACACGGATAAGTGTGGCGAGATTGCTGAGCTGAGCAGTGACGGGAGTGTTGGTATCAGGGGATCAAAAGGCCAGCTGGCTGGCCCCAGCTTGAACATCTCCCTCTCAGCCTCGCCGCTTGTGATTCATTGACCTCTTGCTCTGAAGTACATCAGCAACTCAAGCTTGCAGACTTGAGCACACTTTACTCAGCAGTGTATACTGCACAACAGAAGAGGCATGAGGCCGTAGATACATACTAAGCTACGCATTTATTAAACATAAATCAGGACAAAGAAACATGCCGTCTCTCCTTGCCGTCTTCTCGGAAAGAGAGCTAAAAACAAAAGCTATACAGAGCAGAAGTTCTGCTTACGCCAGCAATCTGTGCTGGAATGTAAACAGACATGTGACACGCAACAATCCCATGTTTGCAGCAAAAGGTGGAATAGAATCCCAACAGGGAGATGCCGAATGGATCAGCAGTCTAGCGGAAGGTTGTGCCAGCTTGCACAACTTGGGAGACGCAACACCGGCTTGAGCCTCCTCTTCCTCCCATGCCACAGAGATACTTCCAGAAGCCAGACTAAGACTTCAGAGCTGTTGGGCGTTGAGAAAAAAATAATGATAGGTTAACTTTCCATACCCTCCAAGTGTCCTGATTTAAGCAGAGCATCATGGATTGACAGAAGCTTCCCTCACCTCTGATCCCAATCTCGGATGCCCCATTATGGCTCTAAAGAGCAACTTCAAGATTCTAGCCTGTATCAGCAGCAACTAAGCTATCTAGCAAAAATCTAAAAAAAATTAAAAAAAATCAGATGTAAACATAGGCAGTTTGAAAGTGCAAATGCCACTGGTGCACATTATGATAAACATGCAAATTATGACTCATTAAAAGTTTCCACTCGGCTTGCAGACCTTAATCTGGAGTAATGCTGCCACCAGCAGCACTTTTCATTATAACTACGTTTTGTTGACGCTGGGGATCAAAACAATGTGTTATGAATACACACAGGCTTAATCCAGGTAGAGCTTTTTGTCTGTGTTTGTAATCACTATTTGACACCTGTACCAAAAAGCAGAGCAGTTAGGCACTCCCTCTGAGACGTTATTGCAGCAGCTGAATGCCACAAACCCAGTTATGTGTCATAAAGCAAAATGTATTGCTTTACAAACAGAAGCATATTAGAAGTCTCCCATGCACACTTCCATGGGAGTAAGTCCCGCTGAAGTCAGTGGGACATGCTTCAGTCTTTACAAAATAATTATTTCTAATGTGATCTAAAACTATATTGGGTTCCTTCACACATGACACAGCAGCAAACCCAAGTTTACCAACAGAGTATACCATGCCCTCCAACATTTTTTCCAATGAAAATAGGGACATCCTATTCAATAATCATAATCATTTTATTATTTATATCCCACCCATCTGACTGGGTTGTCCCAACCACTCTGGGTGGCTTCCAAAATATATAATACTATACATGTCTGCCTTCGTATTCTTCTAAAAGTTTGTATAGTTACTTATCTCCATGACTTGGGGGTTGCATAACTCCATACCCTCCAACATTTCTCCAATGAAAATAGGGATGTCCTAAGGAAAAGCAGGACATTCCAAGATCAAATCAGAAACCAATATTGCTTCTGTAAATCTAGGACTGTCCATGGAAAATAGGGACACTTGGAGGGTCTGGTATGCAAGTATAACACAAGCTATAATTAAAGAGCATGTGTACTACTTCAGGTCTACCACCCTTGTACAGATCTTTGGTTTTCAGTTGTTGGATCTGGAATCAGTACTTCGTTGCAGCCCAACCTAAGTTGGCCTACAACAACAGTGCTATCATGATACAAATATACAGTCAAACAAAATAATAAATGGGTCCCAAAATATATGTTTGGATTAAACCATGTGCCCCAGTTCCTGAACAGGTTGAAGACTATTGCGTAGATAATGATGGTTCTGGGTGCCACCTTGGACCTTCATCCTAGTAGTCTCCACAGTGACCAACCAGTTGTCCCCAAGAAACTCACAAATACAGTGTGTGCTTTTGCTCTGCAGAAACCTGTATTCGGTAGAGACTCTCCTCCCTGGAAGAGAGGGGAGTGGTTGTGGGCGGGAGCCCGAGCTCCGCCCCTGGCTGGGGGCCTTAGCCCCCGCCCCTCCTCACCTGGCTGGCGCCCACGCCCACCGGAGGCAGTCAACCAGGTGTCTCTGGGGGGCGTGTTTAGCAGCTTAATGCTGCGGCTCCAGCTCCGCCTCCTCCTCAGTTGTCGTCGTCCTGCAGCGAGTCATCAGCTAGGAGAGTCATCACAGAGAAGAGCCATGAGGTTTGGAGTCGGGGGGGGGGGGTCTGGTTCCTTGCATGCCTTTTAACTTTAAGAGGCTTGCGTGCGCTCATTGCTTTACTGCTTTTAAAAACCCAGGCATCCAGGTTTGCCTTGCTGTGTCCTCTTTCCATGTAAAAACCTACATTTAACCTTCTATTTCCCCCCACTCCTGGTGCTTGATTTATTTGTGCCCAGCATGTGCCCCCAGCGAGGTCATAGCAATCGTCACAACTTTTGTGGTATTGGTGGGTAGGTTAGGCATTGGATTCATGTGTGTCAAGGGCTAGGTGTGGCCATCGCCTATGCTATCTACCGTGGGTTATTCCGTTAAAGGAATCTGGCGGTCGTGTATTCCGTCCGATGCCTGCTTGGCGGGAGGCCATGGCACGACCCTCGGTGACATCAGGGGTGAGCCTATAGTTGGATGAGCATCAACAGGCTCCACCTACTGTTGAATAAACCCACCTCCTATAGTCATCCAATGCCTAAGCCAATACCTTTTCACTGCTGTAATCAATAAAGTTGTGGCCTTTTCTTGCCCATTAACCTTATATCACGTGTCCTTGTGTGTTTATTTCACATAGCGGGGGTCGGGCCCTCGATCCACAACATAGAACTTCTGAAGAAGTGGGCTCCACTTAACAGTTATGATTAAAAGATAACAGTAGCAGTAGCATCTACAAATTTGTCAGATTGCTCTTTCAAGGCCACCTAAGCCAGTAGCTATTATCACATTTCAGGGTAGAAAATTCCATACATTACTGATGGGTTCTGTGAAAAAGTATTTCTAATTTTTCCTGAATATATTACCAAGAAATGTTAGCCCGTATCAGGGTTTCCCAAACTTGGATTTCCAGATGTTTTTGGACTACAACTCCCAGCACCCCTGACCACTGATCCTGCTAGCTAGAGATGATGGGATTTGCAGTCCAAAAACAGCTGGAGACCCAAGTTTGGGAAACCCGGGTCTATATCTAGTTCATTCATTCATTCATTCATTCATTCATTATATTCATTATATCTATATACTGCCCTTAATCATAAGATGTCAGGGCAGTTCACAGAATAAAATATAGGATAAAATCAAGTAAAGAAGTAAAACCTGTGTTTTTTTCTGGGGGGACGCATACCCCTAAACAATTTGTGAATCTAAGTTTGGCCTCATTGAGAGGCAGTATTTCAATATGAGTAGGAAAATGAGAGTACCCCTAAACTTTTTTTTTTAGAAAAAAAGCACTGAGTAAAACAAAACAGCAAAACAATAACCCGCTCTCCCCATAGACACATTTAAAAGTTTGTAGAATGTTAATCAGCCAAAGGCCTGGTTGAAGAAAAATATTTTCTCCTGGTGCCCAGAATGCTTACTTTTATAAACATCTACAACGCCCCGCCTTAATTTCTTGCATATGATCGCTGTGCATTAGGATTGGTGGTTTATATGCTGGTATTACTTATACCTGTTGGGTGACTTTAGTGGTCCTGGGTGATGCCTCCGATTGTGGAGATACTGTCTTGCCTAGAAATTTTCATTGAAGCTGAAACTGATGGTGTAGCATGCTGTGGAACCAGCCTTACAATGGCATCGTTGATTTGTTACAAATATATCACCTTCCCTAAGAACCTAACACCAATTTCTTATCCTTTTTATAAAACAGCAGTCATTTTACCATAGGTGCCTCCTCCTGGTATTTTCTTTCTCCGTCTGTGGCCTGTAAATTATTTTCAAAATGCCAGTTCACTAGTATTGTAATTTTTCACAGCCATCTTTCTAAGCTGCCTGGGGTGGGAGCTTGTTGTTAAGTATATATCAAATGGAGTTGCTTAGATTTTATATTTGCACAGTGAAATCCAGCTGGCTTGGAATGCATTCAACTCTTCATCATTGCTATCCTAAAGCACCAGCCCAGAAGAAAAATGTTCATGCCGTACAATTTTACCTGCGCTCGGGCAGCCTTTGTGACTTTTCTGATCAACGACAGCAGTGGGACATTGGAAATTCAATTTAGCACATGCACTTGAATCAACTTTAAAGGGAGGATAATGCTTCCATCGGTTGCCATGCACAATTTCATTACACAATTAAGCATCAATTAAAATTCCATTAAAATAATGTTATCCTGTTGTCTTTGCACTGATGTGAACTTGGCACTGCATCTATCTAATAGTATCAGCTGATAATCCTATAGACCCAGTGTCATTAAGGTTAATGTGCAACATGGTTTTCCTTTTCCTTTTACTGTTTATGCCATGAATTAGTTTGTTATAGCATATGTTGGTAATGAAACCTGATTATAATAATGATGATGATAGGAACACAAAGGGGTATGAAAGAAGAAGCTGAGGAAATGGACAAACTGGCTCCAAGATGGAAGATGAAAGGCTGGCTTTTAATTAGGCATTATGTTTTGCAATACCCTTGAACTTCTAGTACAAAGAGTGCTTTCACGTTGCCAAAATAATCCTTGATGGGACCAGCACAGAACCTCCAGAGACAATAGTATCAAAATGATTACTAGCGAGTGTTGATTAGAATGGTGAATGCCATTGGTTACAGCCACAGAACATAAACTCAGTCTCAGAATGATCATGTTACGGTGGAACCTCAGTTCCCGAATGCCTCCGTTGTTTCAGTTCTTGAATGCTGAAAACCCGGAAGTAAATGCTTCCGTTTCCAAACGTTCTTTGGAACCCAAACGTGTGACACGGCTTCCCCTGAGTGCAAGAAGCTCTTGCAACCAATGGGAAGCTGTGCCTCAGTTTTCTAAAGTTTCGGAAGCCAAATGGGCTTCCGGAATCGATTTTGCTCAAGAATCGAGGTACCACTGTACCACTGACCAGGGAGCATTTCTGTCTATATGTAAGTATTTGTAGCTGAGAACTGATATTCTCTCCCACCAAGCGCTTACACTCCAGGTTGAGCTTATAGCTTGTAACTGCTGCCTCCCACATTTATTTTTGCTGAGTTCCCAGAACTGACCTCTCTGGGGCACAAACCTGGGCAGTGTGTATGGAGGTCCTACCCAGATGACAAGACACACTCCTCCCCCCAGTCTCACTAATATGCTCCAAAATAAACCAAAACATTACATTTGGCACCAGCTTGGCTATAGGAGCTGCCAGAAGGAGACATACAAGACACCACCCAACTGTCGTTAGGACTAGGCTCCTAAACTTGTTGTATTCTGCAGTTATATGGCTGGCATGACATCTTGAAATTGAAATACTTGACATTAAATGTGATATTTTATCTTAAAGGTGGGTTGGCATGACCTTGACTTCCTTCCTTTTAAATTTGTATTTCAGCTGACTTCTTGCCATTTTTGACAGATCCTGGTTGTTGTTTTAAGAAGTCAGAAGCTCAGCACAGGCCATGCTAATGTTCAGTTGCACCTGAAGACCAGCCTTCACAATACTGTAACTCAACTGGTATCTGTGCTTTGTCCACAGTTGTGCAATCAAA